CAGAAAAACAAGAGTTTTAAACTGTTTTGGGAGAACAGATTGTTCTTGAGAATAAAAGGTTTTGAGTATAAACCTATGTTGGAACCATGATTTGGTTTGAGGATTATGAACAGGTTCACTCTGACAGGTAACTAAGGTCTGTCTTTGGATGAWCTACTTCATATTAATGAGCAGGAGGATATAAGGGTGGAACATCATGTAAAGGAGATAATCTGGAGGGTATAAGGTGGGACGTTCTCGGCATCGCCTAACTCTTACCATGATAACTATTGGAGTTACAACAGATTGGAGTTCTCACTTCTTGGTGATTTGAGGATTTAGAGATGTTGTCTTTAGTAGAAATGATGGTAATGATGTGATGGTATTGGAGATAATCTAATTCGTGACTGTTGATGCTTTGGGTAAAAGCATTGATTATAAGGAAACAGAGGAGATTTGGTTATACCTTGCAAGGACCAGAGAGGCTCTGATTGACCCTCATAATATAATCAAAGAATACTGGATACTAATTCATTTTGCAAAATCTTTCATGAATTTATGAGTTTGGAAAATAAGCTTTATATCTTTGAGAAGCAAGCTTAGTRCTTTTATTTATTRTTTTAAAATGAATATTTTCATGAGGAACCAGAGGAGCTCTGGTTGGTTCTCATTATTGGGCCAGAGGATTTTGGTTATTGATTTAAAGGATGAGCAAGTTTTTACTAAAGGTTTTATTTGGATTAAAGATTTTGTATCTTTTGATAAGAGCTTCTATGTCAAAATCATGCTTTTGAAGTTTTAAGAAAATGAGTTTTATACTTAGAATCTTTTATGAAAAACAGACCAGAGAAGCTCTGGTTAAGCGTTGAACCAGAGGGGCTCTAGTTGGTCATGTCTTTTGAACCAGAAGCTCTGGTTAGTTCAACCAGAGGCTCTGGTCGAACATGAACTTTTTATAATTGTTTGTTTTATGAAAAAGGCTATCTTATTGATTGAGAGTTTATCTAAAAACCATTTTTGAGAAATTATATGAGTGAAGTTTTGGTTAGTACAACCAGAGGCTCTGGTCATGAAGAGCAGAAGCTCTGGAAGAGAGACCAGAGGGGCTCTGGTCCTATTTTGAAATATTTTTCAAGTCTGGTTGGTTCAACTAGAGGCTCTGGTCGTGAAGACCAGAAGCTCTGGAAGAGAAACCAGAGAGGCTCTGGTCTTAGGTTTTGAAAAGGTTTTGAAATATTTTCCAAGTCTGGTTGGTTCAACCAGAGGCTCTGGTCGTGAAGAGCAGAAGCTCTGGAAGAGAGACCAGAGGGGCTCTGGTCCTAAATTTCAAATTATATTCTAAGTGTGGTATGAAACCAGCGGCTCTGGTCGTGAAGACCAGAAGTTCCAGAGGGGATCTGGTCCTAGATGTCATTATATTTTAAGTATGGTTTGGAACCAGAAGCTCTGGTCATGAAGACCAGAAGCTCTGGAAGAGACCAGAGGGGCTCTGGTCGTGGTTGTCGAAATATTTTCTAAGTATGGTTTAGAACCAGAGGCTCTGGTCGTGAAGACCAGAAGCTCTGGAAGAGAGACCAGAGGGGCTCTGGTCCTGTGTCGAAATATTTTCTAAGTGTTGTTTGAAACCAGAGGTCCGATGGATCGAGAGACCAGAGAGGCTCTGGTCCTGTGTCGAAATATTTTCTAAGTGTTGTTTGAAACCAGAGGTCCGATGGATCGAGGCAGTATGTTTTTAATTTTACTTCATAAGATTTGAATGATTTGAAATAAACGTTTTGGTGATCCTCACCCTGCATTACATAGAAGGGAACCTCACTAGACATTCATGTCTAACCCTTATTTTCGTGTTTTCAAATTATGTGTACAGGTAATGATTATAAGGGAAAGAGTGTTATGTGAATTACTTCTCTATATGTTTAGCTGTTTTGGAAGCATAGATGTTAGGATGCAAGAGCATGTACTTTTGGAATTTTTGGGTTGTGTATTTTATACTCTTGTATCGAGGACCTATGTGGGGAAAACATGTATTCTATATATGAAATATGTATTATATGCAATGTGTGGATTTGGGGTGTTACAAAGATACACAATATCTGGTCATGTATGCTTCTCATAGTGACCCAGTAAGTTACACCGAAGCAGCTAAAGAAGAAAAATGGAGGGCTGCTATGAATTTGGATATAGAGGCCATCGAGAAGAATAAGACATGGGATTTGGTAACCTTACCAGCTGGTGCGACTGTCATAGGAGTTAAATGGGTCTACAAGACCAAGTTTAATGAGAAAGGAGAGGTGGACAAGTGCAAAGCAAGGCTCGTTGCAAAAGGATATGCACAAAGGTACGACATCGACTATGAAGAGGTGTTTGCACCTGTTGCGAGATGGGATACCATAAGAATGCTCTTGGCGTTAGCTGCACATGAAGGCTGGATTGTCTACCAACTAGATGTAAAAAGTGCATTTCTTTATGGAGTTCTAAAAGAAACCGTGTATGTAGCGCAACCTGAAGGATATGTTCGAGCGGAGAGGAGCATAAAGTCTACAAAATCAAGAAAGCTTTATATGGTTTAAAGCAAGTGTCGAGAGCATGGTATAACAAGATTGAAGAATACTTTGTTCGTGAAGGGTTTGTCAAATGCAGCCATGAACATACTTTGTTTACTAAGGGAAAAACAGGTAGTAGTTATCTTATTGTAAGTCTTTATGTAGATGACTTAATTTTCACAGGAAACAATTAAAAACGGTGTGAAAGTTTTAAGAAGTCTATGAAGCAAAAGCTCGAGATAACAAATCTTGGAAGGATGCATTATTTTCTGGGTATTGAAGTTAATCAAACAAAGAACGGGATCTTCTTGTGCCAAACAAATATGCAGCGGCTGTTCTAGATAAGTTTGGAATGACAGATTGCAATCCAATAAACAATCCTATTGTACCAGGAACCAAGCTCTCTAAGGAGGAAGGTGGAGAAGAAGTCGATGCATCTTTGTATAAGCAACTAATCGGAAACTTAATGTACCTAACTGCCACGAGACCTGACATCATGTTTTCTGTTTGTTTTCTAAGCAGATTTATGGCATGCCCAAGAGAAGCTCATTTCATGGCAATCAAAAGGATTTTACGTCACATTAAGGTTTCGGTAAACTTGGGATTATTTTACAAAAGAAGTAATCATGATAATACGATGGAGGGCTATACGGATAGTGATTTCACTGGGGATTACGATAGCAGCAGAAGTACATTCGGGTACGTTTTCATGATGAGCGGAGCAACAACAACTTGGAGTTCAAAGAAACAACCTATTTTCACTCTATCTACTACAGAAGCAGAGTATGTGGCAGCTTCAGCTTGTGCATGCCAAAGCATCTGGATAAGAGAAATTCTTAAGGGGTTCAATCAGAATCAGCGCAAAGGTGTAACAATCAAATGTAACAATAGCTCCTCGATAAAGCTCTCGAAGAATCCTATCTTTCATGGTAGGACAAAACATATTAAGGTAAGGTTCCACTTCTTACGTGAGTTAGTCAACAAAGGAGAGATTGAGTTAATTCATTGTGGAACACAAGACCAGCTCACAGACATAACGACAAAGTCGTTGAAACTCGACACGTTCTTGAAGTTACCCAACATGGTTGGAGTTCAACATTTTCAAGGAGCAAACTGAGTTGCACATGGCATTCTCAGTTTGGGGAAGGATATGATGAGTGATTTATTACTATTTCAGCACCTACTTGAACGGTCATTTTTGGATAAGTAGTTTTGAATAAGAAGTCTTCTCTTATAAAGAAGGCTTAAGAATAGGTCCTAGTTGAACTAGTCTTTTGCTTGTTTTATTTATTTATTTTTCTTGTACAACTCTATCTATAAATAGAGCAGGTATTCTTCATCAATACAATATTAAATCAATTTTGATCAAGCAAAACAGAGTGTTAAAGAGTGAGTGAAGAACCAATTTAAACAAACTCATCAATATCAAACGGATGGTGATTACCGACCGATTTGCAATGGAATTTTATCAAGGGTCTAATTTGTCCATAAGCCGTTGTAATTATTAAGGAATTAAAATGAAAAACCATAAATCACCATCCAATTATATCTCGACAACAATTTACTGATGATTCTTCGACGGTTATGGTTACCAAAGGTGTACCTACCACTTTAGGTCATCGTTTGAAGTTTTATGGATCGATTATCGACATATTTCATGTCTATGGTGTTTGTTTTGTCCTCGACGGGCCATGATGGTCCATTTTTCTTTGTAGTGCAATTGATCGCATGCGAGGAGTGCTATGATCGATGCTAAGGCACGGGCGACACTCCAATTTTTAGGAGCAGTTGGGGCCTCTTTTTTGTTTAGTCCTCTCCATATTCATATACCAAGATTAAATGCTCCCAAAACATATATAAGAACCAGAGGCATTAAATTTGTGTTTTTCTCCATTTGTAGCCAAGTATTGTCATTTTCATTTATAGTGGACTTCTCAGTGGTCTCCTTTACTCATGGTTTTCACCAAATTTTGGTTTTCACATGATGTTGTTTTATATCCATTTACTTTACTCTATCTTGCATCGAATTAATTACTTTTTCATTTGCTACGTAGCTTGTATTGGGAATCCGGTTTATCTTTTTGCATTATGCACTTAAAGCGTTCAATTGTTAAATTATCGGGTTGTTGCCCTTTTCTGCTTGGTTCGACTTTGGTTAAGTTGAAGTTGAACTGAGTTGTGTGGTCAATATTTGCAAGACGATCAAAGGCCAAAGGACATTCAACGTGATCCGTCAAGTGTGATGACCAAATCTCCCTACATACCGTTTCTTTTCTTATATATTACTTGTCATGCCTTATTCAAGAAAAACGACATTCCTTCTTTGAAACCCAAAAATTTACTCATACTTGAGTTGTACAATTTTTATCACCCGTTTGTCAGCTTATTTCTATTAACCATATCAAGAACTTGCTCTTACTCCCGTTGGTTCTTTTCTTATTCATGATAAAAAAAAACGTAATTAATTATGACTCTGATACCATATTAAACAAAGGGAAACACATACAACAAAACAAACGCAATGAAAACATGAAACATTCACAAACGTGGGAAGTGATTGGTATCCTCCCTACGCTTTTATACACATAAACTACAAAGAATAAAAATGGTGGCATTACGGTTACTAGCGACCCAACTTGCATCTAACTACTTGAACTAAACACACCCTTATGCATACGAAACTGCTTCTGAATCTTCATCTACGTATCGATCATTTGATTGTAAATAATCCAATACTGCACACGACAACGTTTGTTTTTTTGTTAGAAACACCTTTATTATATCCGTTTATGTACGAAAATACCAACATCATTGCACGTTATAAATATGATCTTAGAAAGATACCATTTGTAATGAAAAAAATCATGAGTCCCCATTTTCATGCCCCTTGTCACACCAATCATTGGTGGGATATGAAGCAGGCATGAAAAATGGGGAAAAATGATTTTTTTTTTTCCCATTGAGAATTACTTTCATGTTCACTCAAAGCAAATGAAGACTACCTTCAAGTTGACGCAGTGCTCTTAGCCTGAGAAACACCACTCGACGGATTACTCCGAGCTTGCGAGCTTTGGCTTGAGGAAGACTCGGTGAAGAAAACAACGTGGTCATCATCATCAACAAACAGCTGTAGAGCACGTGGCTTCGGGGGCATGTTAACATCCAAAAGGCCTTCAAGAATCTGTTCTACTTGACTCATTGCAGGCCGGGCTTCTTCATCATCTTGGATACACCAACAGGCAACTTTGCAAAGTTTTGTTACTTCTTCGGCACTGGCATTGCCGTTTAATCTAGGGTCTACTAGGGTAAGGATATCGTCACCATCTATAAGAACGTTTGCAGCTCGCATGGGGAAGAATCTCTTCTTCCCGTCTTCAGACTGTTCTGAATTTCTAGTGCCGCTTATGAACTCAAAAAGCATCATGCCATAGCTGTAAACATCTGCTTTCATTGTGATGGCCACTCCTGATAACCATTCGGGTGCTAGATACCCTCTGGTTCCCCTCATTGTTGTCAAAACCCTACTAAAGTCTCGACCAACAAGCTTAGACAAACCAAAATCTGCAATTTTTGGGCACAAATCAGTGTCTAAAAGAATGTTCTCGGGCTTTATATCACAGTGGATTATACAGTCTCTGCATTTCTCGTGAAGGTAAACTAACCCTCTAGCTATTCCTAGCGCAATCTGATACCTCGTTTTCCAGTCCAAGAGTTTTTCGTTGCTGAAAAGATGGGAATCTAGAGAACCATTTGGCATGTAATCATACACCAACAACTTGCTATTTCCTTCTGAGCAAAACCCACGAAGGCGAACAAGATTCACATGATGAATGGTGCCGATTGTACTCACTTCACTTCGAAACTGCTTCTCTCCTTGTGTCACGCTTTCGAGCTTCTTGACTGCCACCACAGTAGAATCAGGCAACGTACCCTTGAACACCGAACCAAAACCACCTCCTCCCAATTTATCAGAGAAATTTTTGGTTGCTGTTTGTAGATCTCTATAAACGAATGATATCAACGATCCCTCCACTGCTGTTTTCCCAACAGATCTCTTGTTTCTATGTATTAGAAATAAAATCAGACCCAAGATTAACACCAAGCCGACAACTGAACCAACAACCGCACCTATAATGACTCCGTTATTCTTCTTTTGGCTTGGAAGATCTTTGGAAGCAACTTTGACATAGATTGTTGTCGCATTGTCGTTGTCGTCTGAAAGATTCAAGAGTTCTCCATTCCAAATTGAACACCCATTGTTGTCATAAGAGTAAGCATTACAAGAACAGTTATTCAAACAAGTTCTCTGACATTCTCCAGAGCTCCCAACAGCCAAAACCGTAAAATTTGGAGGCTTTCGATCAGCTGTAGCTGTAGCTGAAATTGGGAGAAACCCATATTTTTCAGAGGTCCTCCCACATTGTAGTTCAGTCTTCCTCACACACCCACCAGAGAAATCAGTCAGGCTCCAATTACTCGGTGATCTAGGATTGAAACCAGTTAAGCAATTGCAGAATGGCAATCCACTTTGTCGGCAAGAACCAAAAGCACCACAATAATCATAAACCTCACACTGTTCTCTTGGTTGAGACCAAAATAAATTCCATTGTTGGGAAGGTTCTAACCATGTTAATTGCTTAATTTGACCTGAAATATCCATTATGAATCTTGAGATAGTCTCATTATCATACAAAGAATAAGTGAAATAACTCTCGTTTTGGTTTTCGACATAGCTGAAATTGTAGATATAATTCGCCCTCATTTCAGGAACCAAGCTAAAAATGTGCCCATTCCAAGTTCCACTCGTCCAATACGGTGTACTTCTATTCCACCTAATTATATACTGCTTCCCTTTAGGATCAAGCTCTAAAGAAAACAGTCCTTCTGAAGGATCTTCTAAGCTTTTCCATGAAGTAAGAAGCTGTTTTTTTCCCGTTATATTGTTATAAGACATTTTAGCACCAGGCAACCATGTATTACCTGGGAAATCGAAACTTTGCCAAATATGCCCAGTTGAATTTGGACCATCTCTCAAAACTAAGTTACCATCATCAAGAAGAACAGCAACTACAGAATTCGAACTGGAGGAGTTGAGCCCTGTGGACCAAATTGGGGATTTTGACTCGTTTAACAGCACCAAGTTACCATCAATGATTTTCAATTCAGATTCGAACCTATTAGAAACAGGGGTTTCTCTGTTTGCTACCCAAGCTACGGTTGGCAGTATTGTATTAACCTTTTTATACCACATGCCTATGTAATAGTTTGAAGAATTACCTGCTTTGAAGAAACCCAACTCAAATTTTCCATCTTTGGAGATGAGTGTTTGATCTCCAGAGATAGATTCGTTTGCAGTGATGGTGTCAGCACCAGATGAGAGAGAAACGATGAGAGAGGAACAAAGTAACAGCAGAAACCCCATTACACTGCTGTTGAAGAACATGATTTTAGAGAATTTGAAGAAAAAGATGAATCGATATATATGAAAGCATCTAAAAGATTTGTGGGTTTATAAAAAAGAATTAAGCGTGTAATGTCTTCACAGATCTAAACCACAAAAACTTAAATTCATGCTCTGGTCAAGCTTCAAAAGTCAACCTCAGCACAAGAAAAATGGGTTGAAAAGTTGAAAGAACAGGTAAACCCATCTAGATTATATATATGCGTATGATTGGGGGAACAAAAGAATTGCTAATATTTGTTTGTTTATCTTTTAATGGTTTATTAACAGGCAGATTTTGAATCGTTAAAAGTTGAATTTTATTTGACAAAAAAAGAGTTTGCCTCTTAATGGTTTCAAAACCCTCCGAATGATTTTGTATCATAAGTCTTCCTTAATCATTCGACGTCCTAATTTCATTATAAACAGTTACCAAACAATTATATTTCATTTTGAACTATATCATGAGAACCTCTTAATCATTCTGATCACTTAATCATTCTGCACCAAATCATTCAGCAACTACCAAACAGTAGTTCAAAAATTAAAACTCAAGATTTAAAATTGTGTCTTTTACTCAAGATAGCATATAATATTTGAATAAAATCAATCACATAAAATCATATTGTATTTCAAATGCATATATGTACTCTTGAAAGAACGGTTTTTTAACCAGAGTTAGTCGTAATAGTTCAATAGATCCATACATTTACAACTAAGTTTTTATATAGTAAAATTCTGTATTCAAATGTGAATAAATATTGTTATATTAAATAATATAAAAGATTCATATGTGAATGAGTACTTGATTCATACGATATATTCTTGCATTCACATATGAATTGTAAAGAACCAAGTTTTTTACATAGTAACATTACATGTTTCATATATGAATGAATATGGTTACATCAAATAACACTTTGAATTTACATATGAGTAAATACTTGATTCATACGTGCAAGAACTGATATGACTTACATGTAATTATATTCATGTATTCGCATATAAATGTTAAGAATTAAGTTTCAAATATGAAAACATTCACATATGAATACATTACCGAACATTTAAAATTCAATATGCATGTCAATAAATCTCTAAACCCTTCAAATTAAGTTTGTTATATAATACGTAGATCGAATTGTAAAAAAAATTATCAATATACATGTCAAATTAAAAATAATACAATTCTCGTTTTTTGTATAATTTATCTAGTTCCAGTTTTGGAAATCTTTAAGTATTTTGGATTCAAAAAAAGAAGCGGGTAACACTTTGAAAATGAGAAAATTCCAGAAAACCCGATAAACTTTCCAGTTTTGAGTGATTTAAGTTGCTAAACTGTTTTTTTAACAAATAAATCCTTGGACTATGTGAAATTGAATAAATACGTCGTTTGAACAAAAAAAATATTGGTAACTGACTATATTGGTAATCGGTTATAAAGTAAAAGGAGGGAAGTCCAAAAAATCCAACGAACTTGCCTATTTCAAGTGCTCTAATCCTTGAACTATTTTTAACATATAAACCGCTGATATTTCTAAAGCCGATTAAATATACCATTTTGACTAAAAAAGTTACTTGTAACCAACTACGTTAGCAAATTAATGTTGAAGTAAAATTAAAAGTGAAACCAAAATCGTTTTAAACGGCAAAGGGGGATGTTCACAACTTTTGCATGCTTTGGTATGACTAATTCAAATGATATATTCATTTGTTTAACCAGTTCATTTTACTTTGCTAATAATATGTTGATATGTCGAGAGCTTTCGCTTTCAGGAATTTAATCGCTAAAACTACGAAAGTACGTTAGGTATTTCCAGATTTTCCCCATGATTTTATCCCAATAACCAGTTTTATAGGTTACAAGGATAAATTCAATCGATTTTTGAAAGTTTACGGATTTATTTTGCCTCTCTCAGCCTCGATAGGCGCGTGAATTGGGGATGTCCATTTTGAAGGGTTTGGTTTGTTCTCGCATTCTCTAGAATTGGACCTTACTCGTTTAAACATGTATAGACTTGGGATTTTATATGAATAATTTTCTCGTAGGAACCGAATTGTTGCCCTTGGATGAATCACTTGCTTGATCCGACATTTAAAAATACAATGACAGGATGGTGAAAAACCAAACTTCGATGGCAGTGTTGCAATGGACGAACGCTTACATTAGTTGACAACATTTATAGGTGTTAACATAAGTTACCATGAAAATGTTAACATGCTTTATCATAACTTAAAGTATGTTAACGTACATAATACACTACACATATCTGTAAAAATATCAAGGCAAGTTCACGTAAGATTAGTAACGTTAGCATGCATCAAGATATTTTAACGTGAAAAAGCTACATATGTTAACCTACGTAAAAACACTCGACACATGAAAATATTAAAATATGTTAACGTACGTTTAAACATCTTAACATAGAAATGTGAACATAAGTGAAAATGTTAGCGTAAGTTAACATATACAAACCTTTGCATGTAATATAAACTTAATCGATTATGAAGTGCACAGATGCAGAAAACCAAATGATCGAACTGTTGCTCCTTCAAAAACCGCCACACGATCGATGCCTTTGACCTAAAATGAAATCAACTGTTCGGGTAATTCTTACAATTGTCATGAAATTTAAGTTCTTGCTAGAACCGTGATTTATATTATACTAGAAGGGTACTCGTGCAATGCAGCGAGATAAATCTCGATTTTAATGTAGTTTTTATGCTTTGTCTCCATCGATATAATACGATTTTATGTGGTTTTGAGAAAACGATAATGTTTTTATTTTTGAATGAAATATAAATTTGAAAAAAATAAATCAATATTAGTATTAAATTAACTATTTAATAGTTTTTATTTTTTTGGTGTAACTTCTTTAATTCAATTTTTTATTATAATTTAATTTGGATTTAATAACAAAGTAATTTATTTTTGGTTTAATAATATAAGTTTTTATAAATATAATAATTAAACATTCAGTTAGAACTCAATAACTATCTTAATTATATTTTATATTTTATATATTTAAAATGAATGTTTATCCAGTATTTGATTATGTTTATTTACAGTTAGTTACACGAATTTAAAAATGGAGCTTTAATAAGTTGTATTTACGCAAAATTCCTTGTAATCTTGAATTTTAAGTAATATGCATCAATAAACATTACTTTATACATAAAAAATAGTTTTTAAAGGTTTTTGTCAAATACTTTATAATATAATATAGATAAAATAAGATTTCTAAATAAATAGAAGAGTAAATTATGTTTTCCATCCCTGTGGTTTGTTAAAAAATACGATTTTCATCCTTGTGGTTTAGGTATTATGGTTTTCATCCTTATAGTTTGTAAATCATCGTTATTTCCATTCTTATAATTTATAGCTTATTATTGTTTCAGTTCTTGTGGTTTACAGCTCTTTACTATTTTGGTTCATTATACTTAAAAAGGTAAGAATTAGTTCAAAGACTAAATAACAATAAATTACAAATCATAAAGACGAAAACTGCAAGTTCTAAACCGTATGAACGAAAATTGCAGTTTTTAACAAACCATATGAACGAAAAATACAATTAATTCTAATTAAAATGATGACGATGGAATTTGGTCATATTGATGTCACATATTTTTGAACAAGTCTCGTCCATGCCTTCCACTTTCCAGTTCGACTTTAGTGGACCAACCTCTTCACCAACCTAAATGCCCCTTGTTTTACGGAAGCTATTTATATAAATATTTATTATTAATTAAATATTCAAAATCCATTTTAATGAAAATTAAAATTAAGTTAACAAATTCTTTGATGAAGGATTAGTGACGGATAACTAAGAATTTAATTACAAAAAATAAAAATCAGTTATTTGTGTTTTTCGGTCATCTTCAAGGTTATCGACGGATATTAATTTATTTATTTCTATTTTTTTATTACTATTTGCTTATGGTTACTGCTAACTTTTTAGATTACTGACGGTTTATCATGTACTTGGAAATCTCGTGTAAAACGGAAATTACTGTGAACAATTGGTGTCATTGAATTTGATCAGTAGTAACTAAACATGGAATCGTAATTAGTGGATTATTTTGAAGGAATGAAAACCTAAAACTAAACTAGAAACATGTATACAAGAACAAAAAGATTAAATAAAAATAAAATAAATCAATCTATATTATATTATAAAATATTTGATAAAAACTCTTAAAAACTATTTTTTATACACGAAGTAATGTTTATTGATGAATATTACTTAAAATTTAAGATTACAAGTAAATTGTGCATAAGTACAACTTATTAAAGCTCCATATTTAAATTTGTGTAACTAACTGCAGATAAACATAATCAAATATTGGATAAACATTTCATTTTAAATATAAAAAATCTAAAATATAATTAGGATAATCATAGAGTTCTAACAGAATATTTAGTTATTATCTTTTTAGAAAATTATATTATTAAACCTAAATTAAATTTCTTTGTTACTAAACCTAAATTAAATTATAATTAAAAAATTTAATTAAGAAAATTACACCAAAACACAAAAACTTTTAAAAAGATTAATTTGATACCGATATCGATATTTTTTTTTAAAAAAAATTATGATATTTTTAGATTTATATTTTATTAAAACATAAAAACATTATCGCTTTCTCAAACCATATAAAATCGTATTATATTGACATAAAAATAAAATAAAATAAAATACTGAAATCAAGATGTGTCTCGATTCATTGCACGAGTATCCTTGTTAAACCTAAATAATCCACTAACTATGATTCCATAAAAATGATAAGTCTTAAAAGTCCACAATTCAGTTATCTTTCCATTTTTTTTGAAATAAAGTTACCTTTTCATCTTCTTCATCTATTATGTATCAAGAATTTTATAGCCCTAAAAAGTGGTTTATAATTTTTTTAGTATATAATATCTACATACGGCAAATGCAACAAATAAACTCATACATCATCATCATCTTTGATGAGGTTTGAAACTCTGACCTCCTAGGAGGCCAA